AAATAAATACATACATACATACATACATACATACATACATACATACATACATACATACTTTTCCCCCAGCAGTTATATTCTTCAAATAATCCATCACTAATAAAAATTAATCAGTTTTTACATAGATTAACATTCCCAGAATTGGCTCCAGAAGATATCCAAGTTTATGGAATCTCCTTTTTCTATTTCAGAAATCTCTGAAGTTTTCAGTACTGTTCAAAATGGAAAATCTGGCTCTGATGGATTGTCAGGGGAATTTTATAAAGAATTTAAAGAGATTTTAATACCTGAATTTTTATTTTTATGCAATACTTTGCACCAAGGGGACCCTTTACCAGAGCCCTGGAAATAGTCTAAGATAATTTTGATCCTTAAATTGGGTAAAAATTCTCAGGATTTGGCTTCTTATAGGCCCATTTCACTTCTCAACATGGACTATGAGCGGTATACTAAACTGTTAGCTAATCACCTAAAAGTGATTATAGGTAAAATTATTCATATGGATTAATCTGGCTTTATTCCAAATTGAAATATATCTACCCCATCAGGAAATTATTAAATATTATACAATTTAGTAAAATTAATCAATCTTCCCTTGCCATTTGTTCCTTAGATATATTTAAAGCTTTTGATTCTCTAGAAATACAATTTTTAAAACAAATATTAATTAAATTTAAAGTTGGAGCTGGTTTTCATAATATGATTGAACATATTTATGGACCAATTAAAGCCCAGATAAGACTTAGCAGTTATGATTCAGATCCCATCACGATTTTAAGAGGTACCAAGCAGGGTTGCCCTTTATCACCTTTACTATTCAACCTAGCCATAGAAGCATAGGCATTAGAGGCATTTGCAGAGATGTCAGGACTATCAGTTAATTTTCATAAATGTCATCTGATTTTTCATATTCCCTCAAAAACTCAAAAGGAAATTTCTGCAGTTTTAGGGATTCCAGTAGTATATAAATCTTTAAAATATTTAGGTATTACTGTTACTAAAAATATTAATAAAATCTTTAGAAATAACTATATACCAAGATGGAAGAAATTAAATAAGGAAATGAAAAATTGGGCTTCAAAACATTTCAATATTTTAGGGCAAATTACAGTAGTAAAGATGAAAATTCTTGCGCAGCTTAACTTTTTATTTCAAAGCCTCCCAGTGGTAATTCCAGAAGAAGCTTTAGGGCATTGGCAGGGAAAAAAAACTAGAAAGCTGGTGCTTTCATGCCAAGAAATTGAGAGTAAATAAAAGGATTTTATATAGACCTCAGAAACAGGGAGGCTGGGGCATGCTCAATTTGTTAATATATTTAACAATATAGGGCACAATTAGGGGATATGATCCCATTTATTATGGAAGACTCTTCTAAACAATGGATTCAACTAAAACTGTGTTAGAGTCAAATAAGTTTATAAATCAGTGGTTTTTTCACCCAAAACATTTTTCTAGAATAAAACAGATTGAAAATGTTTTTATTAAAACAGTGCTTCAAATTTGAAGAATAAATACACAGTTTTGATAAAGGATGTTTCTCCTTTAACACCTTTGATAACATATTTCGATCAGGATAATTATTACAGTTTGGCTAAAATGAAATCTTTGATAGCATATAATCTTTATAGACTGAAAGATTTTATAGTAATAGTGAACCTCTCAATAAAGATCAGATAGAGCAATGAATAGATGATAAGCTACCATGGCTTTTTTGGTATAAACTCAAATCTCTCTTGGACAATAGAAATACTAGAGCTTCAGCAATATGCCTTATACTAATTTTGAGAATTTAATACTTCATTATTTAGAACAACCAAAAGGAACAATCTCAAAAATGTATAGGTTATTACTGCAATCAGTAATAGGAGATCTATCATATGGATTAAATGTATAGGTTATTACTGCAATCAGTAATAGGAGATCTATCGTATGGATTAAAGGAAGCTTGGGATACTGATCTTGGTAATCCCATATAGGAGACACATTGGCAGCAGTTATGGAAACCGGGTGGATTCACTTCAGCTTCAATGCAAGAATTGCAGTGAAAGATTATACATCGTTGGCATTGGACTCCTGTTAGATTGGCACATATGTATCAAAATTATTCTTCCAAATTTTGGAGAGGTTGTCAAAAAAAGGGTCATTTTTTTTCACTTGTGGTCATGTGATAAAGTTATACCCTTTTGGTGAAACATTTTTGGAGAGGTAAGTATTATCACCAAACAAAGAATTGAATGCTTTCCATTTATTTACTGGACCAAACCATAACCATTAAAAAAAAGAGCTAATTATCTATTTAATTTTAGTAGCCAAAATAATAATTGTACAACATTGGAAACAATAATTGTGCAACATTTAGATAACCTAACAGTTGAGTTGTGGATTAACAAGGCCTCTTCAATTGCCACATTAGACAAAATCAAAGATAAAATTAAAGTAATGAGACTTCAGAAGCAGGAACTACAATTTTACCAAATTTGGATGGATTTTATGGTTTACCTTAATAGCAATTGATTATAATTTTGGTGTACTCTATACATAGGGTAAATTTTCACATATGTAGTAACCATCTCTTTAGTCACATTGTAGCAGATCTTTTTTGTATTTTCTGTATCTTTCTTTTTTCTTTATATATATCTTAGATTTAGGTTAATGTAATTACCTGATATTGCTTGGAAAACACACACACACACACACACACATACATACATACAGTAAAACCTGTTTGAGTTTGAACTGTGAAGATGGTAGGGTAAAAATTAAAAGTTGGACCATCCTCAAATGAGCAACAGTGTAGGCCTAATTAGGAATCCCCGTATGCCTGACTGGATTATGGTTGTTTTGGATGCAAATCCTAACCATCCTCAACTTCAAATGTGTTTGAGTACAATTCTGGTTTTCCCTACCTAGCAGAGCCAACTTGCCATTTGGATGGGAAAGAGTCATGGGATGGCATAACTTTGCTCACTTTTTGAGATATTCATCTGCCTCTGGTTCAGAGGTGAGCAGCTGCAGGCCATTCACAGTTCCTGTAATGTGGAGTCCTCTCCTTGCCAGACTCTTGAAGTACATCCATATGGTTAGCTGTCAAAATTCAGTGGCCTATTTTAAGGCTGCTTTAACATCTGTAACATTACTTTTGTTTTGAATTATATACTCTTTTTGCTTGTGTTGGATTTTTTAAAGAAGATTTCAAAAGTATCCCCCCCACACACAAATATACCTTGCAGTTCCCCCAAAGGCCATTGACCCTTGTTCCTACATAGCCTTGAGGACATGGGGAATTATCAGAGGGAAGTGTGCTACTTGATACTTTGTTCCTGTATCATACTGTCAGATGCTAAAAGAATGTTTAAGGGATGGACGTACACATGTATGCAATCTGTAGCCCTCTGTATCTGATGTAACAATTGTGCTTATTTTATATGAGGAAATTTCATGCTGTCTCAAGAGTTAACTTTACTACAAGCCCTTCCCTACCACAAAGCTTTTTTTAAAAAGTAGCATTCTCCAACCTGGTGCCCTCCACATATGTTTGCCCATACTGGCTGGGCATTCTGGGAGATGCAGCTCCATTTACTGATGTGTGGATAAAATTTTTGGTTTATTACTAACTTTCTTAATTTTCCCCCTTTAGCTGAGATCATCGCTTGTGATTGATCAATCTGATCATCCAGATGGAAGGGGGAGGAATGCCTCTCTATACCAGTTGCATAAGTTGGTGTTACTAAATGCCTAAATACATGCTGGAAGAAGTTCCATTGTTAATGGGTGGCTTTTATTTCACAAACAAGTGTATTTAAGATCAAAAAGTTACCCATTCTCAGAAGAAGCCTTTATGAAAGAAGCGCGATATAAAGTGCTCAGTTAATTATTTATGTTGAAATTTTTAAAAAGATTTTATTTTTGCCTTCATGGATTCTGAAAATTGAAGTGTTCTGTTTTGATACTTGCTTTCAGTTACTCTGTGTTAAATTTCTAGTATACCTGAAAAATAAAAAATAAAATTATTGAGTATGAAACACTTTTTGTAAAGAAAGTCAAAAGAATAGCAAGTGAGCATAAAACACATCTTCATTATTTCAAGCAATTCTTTTTTATTTAAGAGAAAAATGGTTTATAATGTATTTCAAATGCACTATATTATACAGCCAGAATTGGGGGAATACCCCCCTGTCCTCAGCTTCCATTTGCTGTTTGAGCAGGAACCAAGATTGGTTGGTTTCAATCACTCCTATCGGGGAGCGTGATCCCTTCCAGAGTAATAACTGGGCCAAAGTTATTGGATTATCACCACTGACTAGCAACTCCATCTTGGTAGGATTTAATCTGAGTTTGTTTTGCCCCATCCAGATCCTTAGAGCCTCCAGATGTTGGTAAACCCTTCTATTTTTTTTTCTATTTTTTTTATTAAAAGAAGATTTTACAAAGATTTAAAAAACTTCAGAAACATAGAAGTAGAAAAAGAAAAATTATAAAAAGGTAAAAGAAAAAGTCAAGAATAACAAAAAAGAAAAAAGATATCTAAAGAAGCAACTTCTGATCATCTTTGCAGCAGTTACAAACCTAGCAATTACCATCTCCACCCTCCCATACTACATATGGTTCCCTACTTCCCATAAACAAGCCTTTTTAATCAAATTGCAAAATCGCCAGTATATTTTTATCCATTTTCAGCAAAACGTCCATAAAGGGTTTCCAGTCTTTTATAAAAGTAGTTGTACTTCCCTCCTTAGTCAAACAAGTCAATTTAGCCATTTCTGCAAACTCAGCCATCTTCACAATCTATTCCTCCATTGTCGGTATTTCTGTAGTCTTCTATCTTGCTGCAGTTACCATATATAAAACCAATCATCCATGAGCCTTTTCTAGTTGATTATCCATAAGTCTTAAAAAGAAATTTCCAGTTTCATCTGAATGTTAAGTTTTAAAACTCTCTGCATCGCCATGTGCATTTCTGTCTAGTATCTTTTTGCTTTTTCACAAGTCCACCATGCATGATAAAATGCCCCTTTGCGTTTTTCACATTTCCAGCAATGATTAGAAGTACCTTTATACATCTTAGACAATTTCTCTGGTGTCATATACCAACAGTATATCATTTTAAAAAAGTTTTCCTTTAAATTGTAAGACAATGTGAATTTCAGACCTTTTAACCACATTTTCTCCCATTGATCCATTTGAGTATTATAACCAAAATTCTTGACCCATTTTACCATACGTTCTTTAACTTGCTCTTCCTCCATTTCAAATCTTAGCAAAAGTTTATACATTTTAGCAATTGCATGTTCATCATTTGTACATAATTCATTCTCAAATTCTGCTTTGTCATACTTTATTCCTGATACTTTATCTATATTAAATCATTCTCTTAATTGTGCATATGACAACCATTAAAAATTAAATCTCTCTGCAGTCAGTTCTCTTGATTTCATCTTAAGCTCCCCATTTTCCTCTGCTAGCAAATCTTTATATATTAACCATTTGTCTTTGCTTGCTGATTCTTTTCTATAAAACGCTTCTTGAGCTGAGGCAAGCAAAGGTATTTTCGGGCATAGCCTGGGTTTGTATCTGTTCCGTATTTGTGGTATGGCATTCCTAATATAATGATTTTTAAAATCTACATTTATTTTAAGTATGTCATAACGTAAGTAACCATGCCACCCAAACCTCAGACCATGACTTTCTAAATCTAAAAGTCTTATTTCTTAGCAACAGCCGTTCCTTCATCCAAACCAAACATCAGGTAGCAAAATACAATTTAAAATCAGGTAGTCCCAGTCCTCCTCTTTTCCTTTGCATCTTGGATAATCTTATATTTAACCCTTGGTTTTTTCCCGTGCCATATAAATCTGGATGTGCCTTTTTGCCACTGTTTAAGTGGTGCATCAGTTCTCAAAACAGGTATTGTCTGAAATAAAAGCAACATTCTAGGTAACACGTTCATTTTTACCACAGAAATTCTTCCCAACAATGATAATTATAATTCTTCCCATCTTAATAAAACTTTCTTACTTTAATTCCATACTTTAACATAGTTATTTTGAAATAACATACAATTCCTGTTAGTAATACCCAGATTTTTCACTTTTTTCTCAATCTGAAATCCAGTTTTTACAGACAATTCTTTTTGGTCTTCCATCTACATATTCTTTGTCACCATCTTTGTTTTTTCCTTACTAATTTTAAATCCAGCAAATGCACCAAATTCTCTTAGATTTTCCATTAATACATCTATCCCTCCTAAAGGGTTTTCCAAAATTAAAACCAAATCATTGGCGAATGCCCTTAGTTTGTAAACCTCTTCTTAAACTTTCACTCCAGCAGTTCTCTCGTCTTATGTCCCTGTTCAAAACTTCAAGAGCCAGAGTGAATAACAATGGAGAAAGTGAGCAACCCTGCCCTGTTCCTTTCTGTATTTCACAGGGCTTGGTCAATTCGCTGTTCACAATTATTTGTGCCATTTGTGGAAATATATATCCATTTCACCCATATAATAAAGTTCTCTCCAAAATCTGTATCTTCCAAAATTTTAAATACAAAAGTCCCGTTTAAATTGGCAAAATCTTTCTGTGCATCAAGGAATATTAAGGCGGCTTTTTTTTCATTGTGTTGCTCCAAGTACTCTTAATACATTAAGAACATTTCTAATATTATCTCTTAATTGTCTCTTAGGTAAGAAACCACATTGACCTTTATGGATAAAATTTTGTAGAACATTTTCAGCCTTTCAGCTAAAATCATCACAAATATCTTATAATCATTATTCAGTAATATTGACCTATAATTTTTCAGCAAAGTCAAATCCTGTCCTCCCTTAGGAATCAGTGGTATATGTGCCCCTATCCAACTATCCAGTATCTTTCCATTATCTAAAATGGAGTTCATCATTTTTTGCAAAGGTAATAAAAGCTCATCTTCAAAATATTTATAAGCCAATAATCCATCTGGACCAGGGGGCTCTACATTTATGCATCTTCTTCATAGTATCACAGATTTCCCTGACTGTTATTGGTCCATTCATCATTTGTCTTTGGACATCTATTATCTTTGGTAGGTTTTGTTTCTTTAAGTATTCATCTGCCCTTGCTGATGACATTTCTTCTCTCTGATCTAGCCTTGTATAGTACTGATGAAATTTTCTTTGAATACTTACATTATCAGTCATCGTGGTTTTCTCATTTTGTAATTTGAATATTTTCTTTTCCCCTTCCTTTTCCCAGCCTATAAGCCAGCCATTTTCCTGGCTTATTTGCTAACTCAAAATTCCTCTGTTTAGCAAAGGTCAATTTTATTTCCAACTCTCTCACCAACATGGAGCTGATGCTGTAGGAGTTTAATTTGCTGTGAAATATTTTTTTTCTCCCTGGAGATCTCATTAGTTCATCCTTTTGTCTTTTGCATATATTCTTGTTTTTGTTTTTTTTCAATTTGTTGTTCTGCTGTATAAATTATCCTCGCATGAATGCTTTGCTGGCATCCCATACTATTTTTATATCAGTATCTTCATTGCGTTATTCTCAAAAAATTCTTTAAGATTTTTTTTTTACATTCTTCCACTATTCATTCACTTTGTAGTAATATTTCATTTAGTCTCCATCTATAAGTTCTAACTTTCTTCTTGTATGTTAAAGTCACTGGATTATGGTCAGAGAAAGTCTTTGGCAATATTTCAACTTTATTACCACAAGTGGCCAAACCTTCTGCAGCATCTTTGGCTTAGCCCAGATTGGCAATATATAATTGAGTTTCATCAGCTTATTGATGACGTTTTGCCCCAAACCACATGTAGATGCTGAAGAATATGGGGACAGTGCTGAGTCTTGTGGGTCCTTGCATTGGAGCTCCCAAGGACTCAAACTCTTCCATAACTACTGACTGACTGAAACCACTCCTCATATGGAAATAGGTGGTACAGAAGGATACCGAAGCCAGTGATATCAAGAACTGCTGAGAGGTCTAACAGGATCAAGAAAGGTATATTCCCCCCATCTAGATCCCAATATAGATCACATCCTAGGGCATCCAGTACTGCTTCTGTCCTCTGACTGGGCCTGAATCCTGACTGAAAAGGATTCAGATAATTTCTTCTGAGTTTCTGTATACCTGATTTCTCACCATCTTCTCAACACTCTTGTCCAAAAAGAGTAGGTGGAGACCAGACAAAGGTTGTCAAACATGGCCAAATCTAGGGATGGCAGCAGTACCTCCTCCCTCAAAGAAATCTTGATTATTCCTGTACTTCTAGTCACTTGAAGAAGTCTAGCCCACAGGTGGCAGAGAACCCTATTCACTTTCTTGGCTTCCATCGGTTAAAAAGAATCCAGTTACACCATAAGACACTGTTTTACTCATTTCCATGGACTTTGCCCAATTGGCATCCAATGCAAAACAGATGGGAGTGATGTATTGTCGAAGGCTTTCACGGCTGGCATATGATGGCTGGTGTGGGTCTTCCGGGCTGTGTGGCCGTGTTCTGGAAGTTTTGTTTCTTAACGTTTCGCCAGCATCATTACACCCTGCAAAAGGTCAACGAACTCAGCTCATCCACCAGGACGTGTGAACAGTTCACACAATGAACTTGCTAATCATCCTCAGCAGCCACTCATTAACAACGCAATAGAAGAAAAAACCCTGCCTAATCCCCAGGAAGATACACACACATTCTGACACAAAAATAAGCAGCCACTCATTAACCCAACCCCCCCCCCCCCCCCCCCC